TAAAGTTAGTAAAAAAAAGCCTGCCATGAACGCATGAACTAAATCTGGATGCCCAGAATCCACATAAAAAGTAAAAAGCCAGGCATGGCAGCAGGTGCCTCGAATCCCCAGCCTTGGAGTTTTTTTGGCGGTTGGGTGGGGCTGGTGGGTCCCTAAAGCTAATTGACTAGCCAGCCTAGCTGAATTAGTATGAGAGACCAGCTCCGACCTGTTGAAGGGTTCTTGTGGGGAGGAGAGAAGAATGAGGAAGTGTCAGATAGAAAGATAGATGAGATGACAAGAAAGACAGAGACACAGGATAGCTTCGGGAGGGCCCTGGGTCAGTACCCAGTCTCTCTGAGATTTATTCTAATGGGTTTTTATACACTACCAAGGGGAGAGGCAAAAGACCTCCTCGTTTCAAGATCAACTTACAACATACAGCCAAGTGTAGACCCCTCAAAACACCTGGTAACCACACCCCTGACCAAATCATCCCATTATGCAGCCCTGCTGAGCAAAGCAAGCTCCGATTCTCTGACCTTGAATAAGGCCTTACTAGGGAGCTTCTGTGGGCCCCTACAAATTAGTGACTTTCAGGTTCAACAAGTGACCCTGTCTAAAAAATTAAAAGTGGAGAGTGATTGAAAAAAGACACCTGACGTTGACCTCAGGCCTCTGCATGCCACACAGACATGTACACACCACACACAGAATTTTTCATTAAAGTGCAGATGTTCTAGAGCTGTCCTTTAGTTTTTAATGAGAAAAGCTTAAATCAAGGCATCATCTCAGTCGGTCCAAAGCAGAAGCTACTTTTCCTGGAGAAACATCCCCATCTTGTGGCCATCTGAAATATTAGTGTAAAGCCAAAGTTTGCCTTAGACTGTACAGTAATTGTTAAGCCAGGCAGGCATATTGGGCATGCCTTTATTCCCGGCACTTGAGAGGTGGATTTCTGAGTTCCCGGCAAGCCAGGGCTACAAAGTGAGACATAGGAATCTATTAATTGGGATTGATTTAAGAATGCCAAAATATAAGACAAAGTCCTCATTACTGTTGTCATTCTTTAGGGACACTTATGCATAAGCTCTTCAGTGGTTTAGCATTTATATAGCTTTTTTAAAGTAATTTTTAGACCAACTTAGTTTTTTATTGTTTTACAGGATTTTATTCCTGCTAATAGCATATTATCAAATGCCTTATCATGGGGAGTGAAGATTCTTCATATTGATGGTAAGGATCTTTTGACAATATTTGTTGTCTGTCTCTTAGTTTAACTTTACATAGTAAAAGTTTTGATAGTAGAGGTACCTCCAATGGCAAACTGTTAACCTAAGCTTGCTGCCACTTAAGATATCATTGTTTAACTCCAAAGGTAAAATTGCTAATCCTCGGTCCTTCTTTCAATAAAGACATTAGATACTACATTGAACAGAAGAAGAAAGAGTTATGTACATTCAAGAAATCAAGTACTTCTGTGAGGGATACGGTATGTTGTTTTCTTTATTTTTAAAGCACTGTTCAAAGTGATAGCTTAGTTTTTTATTTATATATCTATGAGTAATTTCCTAATAAGTCAAAAAATACTTTGTCAAAATATTTTTTGGGTAAGCCTATGTAATGTTTGTGTATCATTTGACTTGAAACTTACATTCATGAAGTGAAAATTATTTCTGGAGTAATGATGTACATTCTTTCATCTTTTTTTATTGCTGTTGTTTGTTAATAGATATTTTTGTTTGTTTATTCTGTGGAAAGATGCTCAGATTAACCTATATGTAAGAAAATTCAAATACACATTTCATTTGCTCTGAATGGCAGTCTATCACAGTCGTGTGCCGTCTAGCCAGTTGGTCTGGTGTAAGGCCTTTAGTGCCGGTTCTGCGCAGTAGCTGTCCTCGTGTTCTGCTGGCGGTGTTGGCGGCCTCTGCTTTCTCTCTGGAGTCTCTGTACAGAGTCACCCTTTTTCTATCCTTTCGACTGTTGATCTCACACTCCGTCTGTCTACTCTTCAGTCTTCATAGTCCATCTTCTCAGTGTTTCACAGATGTCTACTCCTGTACTCCTTCCTTATTTTCAACTGAAAAGGTATAAAACGCCTAAGCAGTTTACCAGATCCTTTTGATACCTTTGAAAGCCAGCTGTGTTGGTTTTCCTGATGTTGTCCATCTCTTCCTTGAACTCTGTTCATCTCTTCACTTCTTCCTGCTTTCTCTTATTCCTCAGACCATTCTTATGTGGTTTGCTTTTGTATCATTCAATCCTTAAATAGCTTGGATATAAAGAAAATGAAGTTAATAGAGTAAATAAAAAGTGATGGAGACAAACGTAGTTTGGTAATTTGGGTAGTTTTATGTAGTGTGATAGGCATCTTAACACTTTGCACAACTCCAGTAACACTAAGGACTTGTATCTGAGGTTCTGTTAGTTTTGATTTTCCTGTTTTGTTTTGTTTTGTTTTTTGATTCCCACCCCTTCGTTCCAGTTGGTTACTCATTATCTCTGTGTTGACTGGCACTTCACTTTGTCGTTTGCATTCTGGTGTTGAGTCCCCACAGTATCATGAGTGCCATACTTTTCAGTTCTACAGTTTCTGTTGGGGTATGTGTGTAAGCTTTTATGTATCAGGTAAGTTTTGAGTACGCACAAGATAGTGCCAGTGTTTTGCAGATTTCATGGCTATTATAATAGTTAGGCAAAGCTGGTTTTGGTTTTGCTTTGCTATTTTTGTTGTTCTTTGTTTTGTTTGTTTTTCTCAAGACAGGGTCTCTCTATGTAGTTCTAGCTGTCCTGGAACTCATTGTGTAGATCAGACTGGCCTCGAACTCACAGAAATCCACCTGCCTTTGCCTCCCGAGTGCTGGGATTAAAGTGTGTGCCATTGTGCCCGGCATTACTGTTGTTTTAACAGATATATCCATCCACTTTTTATTCTGTCTTAATTTTGTGATTATGAGGTCATTCTAATTTGTTGCAGTTTTTCAAAGACTTGCATGCAGCCTTGGGGTTTTCTTACACACATACTGCTCACAGGGTTAGTCTGAGATCTGGTCAGTGATTCAAATCTTAGTTCCACTTCCAAAGCCCTTTTTGTCTTGTACTTTGGATCTATTGATAGCATGTGCAAAGTTGAGTTATGCCCAGCACATGTGTGGATTTACACAAGCAATTGGGGGTGCCCCTTTCCAGCCTGCTCCTTGAATCCTCTGTTCAAAGGTCCCTTTGCCAGCTCCTGTAATAAGAAATTGGGCATTTCTCATACTGCCTACGCTACTGCCCATACTGCATTTACACCCTCGGGACAACTGGAAGAAACAATTCAGGGGCTTCTTTGGGCTCCTGGAGTCTCTTTTGCTTTTTCTCTGGTGAGAAAGATGAAGTTAGTGTAATTTTTGAGTCATTTACTCAGACACCTTCATGACTGAAAGTCCAAGTTTAACACCAGCTTCGCAATCTACTTACTCCTTAAATTTTTTAGGTACCTACCCAGTTGCTTATTGAATGCTGTCTAGAGTTTAGTTATAAGTGGATTATAAGTATTTGCTTCATATAGGTCTCAACTGTTAACTGTACCTTTTCTTATTAAATCATGTTGAAGGCTAAAACTTAATCTAGAATGCAAGGGATAAAGATACAGTCAGGACTGTGAGGCCCATGTTCAATACCAGCACCACAATAAAGAATGCAAAATAGGACTGACTTCTATATAGATAATCAAGATCTTTAGTTCTTGAGTGTTGTTCAGTTTATTTGATTGAATTGATTTTAAGAAACAAGATTTTCCCCCTTGAACAATAACCATGTACTTTGTGTACAGTATTTTCCCTGTGGATTTTTCTCTTGAAGGTACGGAACAGTTGTCTACAGTTATTGTATTTTCACTGCATCTTTTCTTTTTTTTTTTTTTTTTTTAAGGGAAAAAAAGCTGGTACTGGAATACAGAAGGCAAGAAGTAAGTATTCTGATACAATGTTTAATTTTCTTTTAGAGAGCAGAAAAAAATTACATGAAGACTGTAGCCTGGGACTCTTAATTCAGTGGTAGAGTACTTATTCAGATGCATGATGCCCTAGATTAAATTTCCAGGGTGTCCAAATATATATATACTTAGAAAGATTCTCTAAGTTAGCAAATAGTGCTTTAAATGACTTATTCAAGGATTTCTTAGTAATTTTTAGAACATGGAACTCTACAGCAGTCTGATGGCACTACCCTACCCCGTGTTAAGTTGTTGTTGTTGTTGTTGTTGTTGTTGTTTTTAAGCTATTTGTTTTATTATTTTGTGGGAAGGGGTTATGTGTACATTAGTACAAGTACCCAAAGAAGCCAGAAGAGGTTGGTAGATCTTGGAGCTGGAGTCACAGGCAGTTGAGTCTCGCCTAATGTAGGTGCAGGGAACTGCACTCCTCTGGTCCTCTACAAGAGCATTATGTGATCTTCACTGCTGAACTCTCTCTCCAGCACCCAAATTAATTTTTGTTTTTGTTTTTTTGAGACAGGGTTCCTCTGTAGTTTTGGTGCCTGTCCTGGATCTCCCTCTGTAGACCAGGCTGGCCTCAAACTCACAGAGATCCACCTGGCTGTGCTTCCTGAGTGCTGGGATTAAAGCCATGCACCACCACCGCCTGGCCCCAAGTTAATATTTTCAAAAACATTTTTTAAAGCTCAGTAGAGTCCCAGAAGAAGCAATTGTTCAAACCCATTCACTGTGATGAGCATAAAACAGTACATTGAGGTTTTACAGTGTGAAAATATCAGCACTATTCGGTGTAAGAATCTTGTGTGGCTGGTTATGATGGCACATGTCTAATCCCAAAATTGCAGAGATTGAAGCTGGAGTATTCAAAGTTCCTGCCCAGCCTGGGCTGCAGTAGAGAGATTCTGTCTTCTCAGATATGACAGATCTGGTATATGGGGGGGGGGTGATATTGGAAAATATTTTACCTTAGGCCTACACCTTTCAATTCTATAGGTTTTAGAAGACTTTGAGGGGATTTTACCCACAGTAGAGTCTTTAAGTACCCATCTGAAAGTTCTAATGATATTTTTCTTCTCAAGCAGGGAGACTCAAAAAGCCTTTTTTAAAGGTTGAAGATGTGAACCGGTAAGTGTCAAAGTCCAGTGTGTGGGAAATTGAGTTGGTATTACAGAGAAAATCTCATTAGACCTATTTCCATTAATATGTTTACTTCCTTTATATGACAGTGTTGTGCCTAGAGCATTAATTATCTTATGTTCACGGGTTGAATTTAGCTTCATCCTATGTAGATTTAAATTCACAGTATTTGCTGTAGACTAATCATAAAATCATCTCTTTTTTGGTATTTTAAATAATCATTCTGGCTAAATTCAGTGTCATATTAGTTTGAACAATTACTAAAGATTTCCCCTATAATTGTGAAAAATTATAGATACTACTTGGAAATACAAAAGCTAAATATGACATTTACTATGATAGCTTTCCAAACTCTTTTGTTTTCTAAGATAATCTTAAATCAACAGGTAAGTTAGTTTGGTATGTTAGAAAAGTTGGGTTAATTTCTCTTAGCTCTCTAGTTACTTCTTTGGCCAAGTATAGCTCATTATGTCAGGTGTTCACTGAAGTGATTACAGTGTTGAAAGCTTCCTTTTAAAACTGTTATGGGGCTGGAGAGATGGCTCAGTGGTTAAGAATGCTGGCTCTTCTTTCAGATCATGTGAGTTTAATTCCCAGCATGTGTGTTGAGTGGTTTATAATCACCTGCAACTACAGCTCTCGAGGATCTTGACGCCCTCTTCCCGTGTCCTTGGCACCCGACATACATGTATACACAAATAAATAATACAATCTTTAAGATACATGAAGTTTTTAAATGTGTTACTGTGAGGAAAAATTGCAATTTAAAATTAGGCCTTGCCAAGGTTTGATGGTAATCTAACATGCTTGTAACCTCAGGAGGATCTCAAGTTCGAGTCCATCCCAAGCAGCGTAGCAAGATCCTGTCACAAAATTTGGTAATGGGTCAGACATCCTATAATCGTAGACTGCACTAGAAGATTTAACAGTGTGGGTAATTCCACCTTAGCATTTGGGGCTGGAGAGAAGATGACTCAGTGGTTAAAAGCACTGGCTGTTCTTCCAGAGAACCAGTGTTCAATTCCCAGCACCCACAGGGCAGCTAGCAATTGTCTGTAACTCCAGACCCTGGGAATCTGATGCATTTTGCTGGCTTCTGTGGACACTGCATACATATCATGATGCACAGATATACATTCTGGCAAATACCTATACACATACAAATAAATAAAAATTAAATAGATTCATAATAAAGAAGCCTGGCAGTGGTGGTGCACACCTTTGATCCCAGTGCTAGAAAGGTAGAGGCAGGGGAATCTCTGCATTTGAGGCCAGTCTGGTCTATAGAGCTAGTTCCAGGACAGTCAGGGCTACACAGTGAGACCCGATCTTTTAAAAAAAATTAAAAAAAAACAAAAAATAATGATGATGATAAAGACAGAAAGCAGGCGGATGAAGGCACAGGCAGCAAGCAGATGAGCAGTGTCCTTCATGGCTTCTACTTCAGCTTTCGCCACCAGGTTCCTGCCCTGAGTTCAGCTCTGTCTTCTTTTCAGGATGGCCTGTGATTAGAGCATGGAGGCAGAAATAACTCTTTCCTCTTCGAGTTGCTTTTGGTCATAATGTTTTATCATAGCGATAGAAACCCTAACTAAGACAGCAATATAAAGATTAACCCAATAAGTGGAAGAAGGCAAGTCATATATTTATAGAGTTATTATCGAGAATTATCCCTACAGTTCAAAAGGAAAAAAAAAATAGTTGAGAAATGAAAATCCATATCACAGTGAGACTTCTTTAGTTCCATTAGGAGAGTTCCATATGTATCTGAGAAGCATAGAATAGCCAAAAGGTATAAGCAACCCCTGCCCATCAATCAGCAAATGTATGGATAAATGAGGTATGGAAGATACATGTGCCTGTGTATTCTGACAGTGGAATGTTTTAAAGAGATTGAAATTCTGACATGCCACAACATGGATGAACCACATCATCCTAAGAGAAATATGAAGGAAAAAATACTGTATTATCCCATGTACATAAAGCATCTGGAGTATTCAGATTCAATCCCTGGTGGTTGTTAAAGGGCTAGAGGGAAATAGTTATTGTTCAGTGAGTAGGGTTCTTGCTTTTGCAAGGTAAGCCTATAGAAGATAGGTAGTGCTTTCACAACTTAATGCTTAATGTGACTAAATGTACGTTTCAAGTAGTATCTAGAACAGTGGTTCTCAACCTGTGGGTTGTGGTGAGGGGGTCAAATGACCCCTTTCATGGGGGTCGTCTACGACCATTGGAAAACAGATATTTACATGACAGTTCATAATAGTAGTGAAATTGCAATTATAAAACAACAACAAAAATAGTTTTATGGTTGGGGATCACCACAACATGAGGAACGCTATTAAAGGACTGTAGCATTAGCAAGGTTGAAAACCACTAATGTTAGATTAGGAGGGTATACTGATTCCAGAACTTAATGCTTAAGTGACTAAACTGTACAGTTTCAAATAGTTAAGGTGAAAGGTATTTTGGTACGTTTTAAATTGCGATTTTTCAGTGGGGAGGATCTGGGAGATGAGGGAGGGGGAAACGATGATCAGAATATTGTGTGAAAAAATATTTTCAATTTAAAAAAGTGTTTTTTAAATGTTAAAGGAGCAGGCCTACAAGCCAGGTGGCGGCGGCGGCGGCAGCAGTGGTGGCACACACCTTTAATCCCAGCACTCAGGAGGCAGAGCCAGGCGGATCTCTGAGTTCAGGGCCAGCTTGGTTGAATTCCAAGACAGCCAGGGCTACACAGAGAACCCCTGTCTCAAAAAACCAAAAAGAAGAAAAGAACAGGCCTACAAATTGATTGTTTGAAAGGAAGATGACCCCTACCAAGTCTCTATTGTTTATTTCAGATTGGGGTGAATTACATGATTTTGAAATGCAAGGCTTTAAACCTCCCTTTGATTCTAGAGACACTCAATATTTGTCTTTACTCCTTTAGGTCTTACAGGCCATTTTACCTTCAGCTGACCAGTATGCCTTCTATAAACTACTCTACTCAGAAGCCTTGCAGCCCTTTTGATGGAGATAAGCCATCTAACATCCAAAAGCAAGTTCAGCCTAAACTCAGGTTGGTTTGAAAGTTTATTTTTAGAAGGAATGCTCTTCAGATTCTCACTATTGCCAGTTCTTCATGAACACTTGGGGTATCGTACTTGATGCCGTGGTACTAGTATGTGTACTTGTTTTCCTGTGTATGTTTTTAATAACTCTATGCTAGGTTTAGTCTTATTTTAAGTGCATTATTTAGAAATTCTCAATGAGAGTGGTGCTCCAGTAATGAAACCTGTTTCTCTTGACCATTTGAACTGTTCTTCAGAATATTTATTGCATTTTTTTTTAATATTTCTTGAAATGCAGTTAAAGGTCTTTGCTCTTACAAGTCTCTGATTATGGCAGATTCTGCATATGATTGTTTAAGAAAGTAATTTTTAAATTAATCATTGAGTTTAGCAGTTAATTTTGTTACCATGTATTTCAATCACTAGAATTACTACGGATGGCGATAAATGTGGTGGAACCCCAGTTCAACTCCAGTTGAAGGAAAAGAGAAAAAAAGGATATTGTGAATGTTGCTTACAGAAATACGAAGATCTCGAAACTGTAAATGTCATTTTACACTTGGGATTGGTGTTTCTAAAAGCTTAGATACATTCTTACATTTAAGTCTTACCTTACTATTCTGATGGTAGTTTGCAGCATGATAGTTACAAGTATATTTTATGGTAGGGATGGAACCTAGAACTCTACACATTATGGGCATGTGCATCAGCACTGCTACATCTTTGGCCGGAAGCACTTGAAGTTTTAAGAGCCCAAAGAAGGAAATCAACATTGAAAGAAATAGTTTTTATTCATTCAGTAGCTATATTGAGTACTTAGTCTATAACTACAAGATAAAAATAACAAAATCTATGTAGACAGTATTAGGTCAGTTGCAAGGAGCATCAAAGCAGGAGTCAGATGTTGCTTTTTATTTAGACTTGGCAAAGAAATACCTAAGTGATGTCTAAGTAGAAATACAGAAAAGTTAGATAACCAGATTTCTCAATACTGACTGAAAATCATCCAGGGAAATGCCCAGAACTGGTTGATAGACTCAGAGTACAAGATGTACAAGTACCAAGCAGTGATGGGAGAAGTTCTTGAGGCACTTGAAGGATGAGACTGAGAAGATGGACATGATTCTGAATTGAGAGATGGTGGATAAGTGAAAGTTATGTATTTTGGTCTGAGCAATTATAAAAGAAAAGACTTGCAAGAGCGTACTAGATGAAGGTAGTTTTTAAAAATGGGGACTATTGGGGTTTTTAAACTGATAAAAAATAAGAACTTTGCAATCACTGGCAATCTGTCTATGTGCCCTTAGAGTTTAGTGCATAGCAAGTGCTTCTTAATCTTAGCAGTTAATTTTTGAATTCTTAACTTTTAAAAGATAGATGTGGTGTTGCACAACTTAAACTTCTCTAGTTTCAAATACTCAGGAAGCTGAGGCAGGATGAATATTTGAGTGCATAATCTCTAGGACAACACAAACAACATAACAAGACCCGTATTGAAATATAAATATATATATATATATCTTTTTGAATATATATATTATAAATAAGTGTGTGTGTGTGTGTGTGTGTGTGTGTGTGTGTGTGTGTGTGTGTGTATACACACACAGGGTTTTAGTGTTTTGTTTGGATTTAGTTGGAAATTTAGAGAATTAAGCCTGAAAAGACTGATTCATAAAGCATCCCTGACTTCATCTTTTAAATTAGAGTTTGTTTTGTAACCCAAAATATAGTAATACTTACCAGGGGTTTTGCTTTGTTTTACTTATATAATAAAGGAGAAAATACAGTTTAAAATTGCATTGACTCAGAAGCTAAACTATCTCCAATTTTTCCCTGTTCTTTCTGATTTTTGAAACTAAGGTTATTGGTTGGTCTGTAATTACTTGGCATTGGGAGAATAGAATAATCTAGAATGTTTGTTTTTCTTAATCTTTGAGGTTCTAATGTGATATTCAGAAAATGTAAGAGTAGTATGAAAGTTGTCCACCGGTTGCTACAAAGAAAATAAATTTCAAAGTAGATGTGATAATGAAATTTAAGATCATGACTTTGATAGGGTGTTTTGTTTTGTTGTTTGTTTGTTTTTTAAATTTAAACTAAAGCTGAGTTAGGTCACTGTTGTTTGTAATCATAGCACTTTGGAGGCATGGGATGAAGAAAGGGTCTTGGGTTTGAGACCAATTTGGGCTACATAGTGAGATCTTTGAAAAGGAAAAAAATATGTTGTTTTTGAAACTTGAGTTTCACGATGATTCTACCCATGCCAAGAGACTGAGTTAGGAGATATTTTTGAGGACTTGGGAGATGGCTTAGTCAGTGATGTGCTTATGAAAGAACTAAGATTGATCCCCAAAACCCACATAAAACCCTAGGCATGATGATGTGCATGCTTAGTCCCCATGCTGGGGCAGAGACAGGGTAGTTCTGGGGCTTGCTGGTCTACCATCTACTTTCCTTGATGAAGAGTTCCAGGTAGACAGCCCCTGAGAAAGGAATGAGAAACAAGGTTAGCCTCTGGCCTGTACACAAATATTTTTGTGTACTAGAGGTAAAGCAGACATTCCCCACCTTTTCTAGCTTGTGTAGCCAGCATAGGAAGTAGGTTTATATCTATTTGCAAGTGTGGTGAGTTATTTTTTTTCTTCTCCCCCTCACCCCAAACAAGGTTTCTCTGTATAACAGCCCTGGCTGTCATGGAATTTGCTTTGTAGACTCGGCCAGCCTTGAACTCCCCTTTCCCTCCCCAATGCCGGGATTAAAGGCATGCACCACCACTCCCAGCTTTATATTTATACCTCTTAAAATAAACTTTATTATTTAAAAAAAAAACTATGCAAATAAATATAAACATCATACACTAAAATTAAGTGGACTCAGAGTCTATACAATTCAGTGAAATTCTATACAGTTAAATTAGGCATTCGGATTGAAAATTGTGGAGCTTCATACTAAATTTAACACTTTCAGTATCAAATATATTTTAGCCACCAAATGAATGGACTTAGAATGTATAATTTTAAGCAAGATCACACAATCTCAGAAAAAAAAACCATGTTCTTTCCATATGTGGAATTTATCCATTAATATATATAAACATGTAAACAAATATGAGTACAGTATAACATGTAGAAAAGAGAACAAACAAGAAAGGCTAACTACAAGGGGGTGAGGAAGGTCTGTCTGAATGCAGGTAATGGGCCTGAATTATGAAGGATGATACAAGCCTAATTGTTTTTCTAGTTCTAATTGTAGTTTGGAGAATGTTCAGGTTAGGTGGACTATATATAAAGCTCAGTGGTATTAAATGATGAGAAAGGGATTAGGCAGTGTAGTCCAGTAGAAAGCATAGGCTTTGCACATGTGAGACTGTGAGTTCAGTTCCCAGACACAAAGCTAAAATTAAATAAGATTGCTTGACTTACAGTGTTAGAGAAGGCAAAGACAGCTGAGGCATTTAAATCAATACCTAAGTAATAAAAAAAACTAAGTGGATGTAGAGAGGAACTACATAAAATTGGAGTTTCACTTAAAATTAATAAGTGCTTCTTTTTCCTTCCCAGAATATAAATGAACTCAGTCTGAACTTTAAGATGGGATTTTTTTTTTTTCTTCCAAAAGGGTTTCTCTGTAGCCCTAGCTGCCCTGGAATTAGCTCTGTGGACCAGGCTGGCCTCAAACTCAGAAATCTGCCTCTCCAATGCTGGGATTCAAGACGTGTGCCACCACACCCAGCTCTAGGCTTTAGATATACTGAATCAGCTAACAGACACCCAGCTCTAGGCTTTAGATATACTGAATCAGCTAACAGACAAATGGTAAAATTAGCCTGGTGATCTCACTCATTCAGAAAGAACTTTGTTTCCTTTGAGTTTTACACCATAAATTTGTTTGTATTTTATTTGACAGGGTCTCCCTGTGTAGCCTTGGCTGGTCTGGAACTCATGTTGACAGGTAGCCCTCCAGTTCATAGGCATCTACCTGCCTCTGGTTCCTAAATGCTAGGATATGTCCTACCATGCCCAGATTATTTTTACTTCTAATCACTTCTAAGATTGGAAAGTTCCTCTGTTATGATCAGTAGGTAAAGAGATAATCTGTTTGCTCATACTTGGATGTTTCTTCAACCATGAGTCTTTTTGTAATGTATATATTTTGTAGCATTTATCATAGGTTTGGGGTTTTAAGTTTTATTTTTACGTATTCGTGAGTATATGGCACATGTGTAGAATCTAGAAGAGGTCATTGGGTTACCAGGAACTGGACTAGAGGTGATTGTATGCTATTAGATTTGGATACTGGGAACCAAGTTCAAGTTGAGGAAGAGCAGTAAGTGCTTGTAACTGCTGAGACAGCTCTCCAGCCCTCTGGATTGTGTTTAAACTGTAACCTTCTAGACTATTACAGGTTTTAGATTTTTGTATATTAAGTTAAAAGACTTCATTTAATTCTATAAGCCCTACCTTGGTAATTATAAGCAGTAGTAGATGAAAAGATGTTTTATAAAATATTAGTATGTTACTGGATGCTAAAGGTAGTTCTTAACTTTTTGTCTTGAGAAAAGGTTTTTGTTTGTTTGTTTGTTTGTTTGTTTTTCTCTTTTTTTGGTTCTTTTTGAGACAGGGTTTCTCTGTGTAACATCCTTGGTTGTCCTGGAACTCGTTTTGTAGACCAGGCTGGCCTCAAACTCACAGAGATCATCTACCTGCCTTTACCTTCCCAGTGCTGGGATAAAAGGCATGCTCTCCCACTCCCAGCTGAGGAAAGGTCTTTCTAAAAATATCTAAATTAAAATATAAATACATCATTTCTCCCCCTTCCCCATTCATCCCAATTACTGCCACTTGCTGTCTCTCAAAATTCATGGACTCTCCTTAAAAATTGATTTCTTTATATATTCTCTTCAGTCCATAAAATGTTACTTGTATGGATACAGTATCAGGCTGGCTACCTTGTATAAGATAGCCAGTTGGTGTGCTCTTCCTGGAGAAGATACTTCTTCCACCCTCGGCATTCCTTAGTTGCTGCCGTACTTTGTCTGCAAAGGGTTGGGGACCCGTGAGAGTTCTACCTTCTGTCTTAGTATGCTATCAGTGTTGTCCTCTTCAGCTCTTTGAGACTTCGTGAGTGTGTTTTCCTGTCCTTTCCAGGAGATGCCGTCTCACAGCAGACTTCCTGTTCCTCTGGCTCTTACAATCTTTTGACCTCCTCTCCTGTTCTCTGGACACCACACAAGTTTAGTAAAGTGACGGTAGTCGCTGTCTGTCCCAGGCCGGCCTGAGGTTCACAGCTGCCCTCCCAAGTACAGTGATTGGAGACTGAGGCAGCACAGCTACATATCATTTGAGATATATGAATAGATAGATGATCTGACAGACAGACAGAATTGATAAAGACATATATAATGAGAGGTTTTTTATTTGGTTTGGAATTGTTTGGTTTTTTTTTTATTTAATTGATATAATTATTGGCCACAATTTTATGATGCTTTTGTTTTGTTTTGTTTTAGCACCTTCTGAGTGAGAAACACAGAAACTTTGCGCAGAGTAACCAGTATCAAGTTGTTGATGATATTATATCTAAGTTAGTTTTTGATTTTGTGGAATATGAAAGAGACACACCAAAAAAGAAAAGGTAATTAATTTGCCAAAGTTCTACTTAGGTTGTTAAGCTATTTTATAAACTAAAAATTAATCTAAAGTTTATCTGCTCTTAGAAGGAATATAGCTTTTTTTAACATGACATAAATGTGGTTTAGAACTAATACCTTCTTCCCTTCTTTTTCCCTGCCACCAAAGGTACTTAGTCCCCCTCTGACATGCTTTTGAAAGGGAGTTCACAATTTTTATATTAAGGTCAGTGTAGAGTTGATATTTTAGGTTTTGTGAACTGAAGGAGCTCAGTGGCCTCTGCTCAGCTGTGTTACAGAACATGGCTATGTTGCAGCAAACATTCGTTGAGAAAATAAAGTGAAGACAAGATACTACCAGTAAGCGATTTGTCAGCCTCTGGTGTTAAACCATGGAACTTACTATACTCAGATTAAAAACGTTGATTACTAAGTAGGACATTGGCAATGCCATGAATACCATGCTGTTCAGTTTCCAGTGACTGCACACTGACAGTTTGGATCCTAATTAGATTATTCTCATAAATCTAAAATTTTAGAAATGCTTTTATATGGATGTGCTATAGAGTAGATAATTCAGTTTTCTATTTTTATCCCAATCTTAAGGCATAAAGATTAGAGATGTGATACTAAAATACAGCTTCTGAAAAGTGAGCAGGAAGTGTTCCATTTTTAGATTCTGGATTTCTGCAGTGCTCTCATGGTACTTTATGGCTGACTTACTAATGTGGCCATGTGGGGCTAACTAAAAACTTAAAATTTTCTGAAAGCTTCAGAAAGGTCCTGAACATAAGTTTTAAACTAGCCATTCCCTGATCATTTTATCACCACTACTTCTACTTTTCAGTCCATGTACATCTCTGAAGTACAGTGGGACTAGTGTTACCAACCATTTGTTGAAAGGAACTCTAGTCCCCATCTTGGTTTTGCTTTGCTTTTTAGGGATCAAATCTAGGGCCTCACAGATGAGGCACAAAAGGAATCTTAAAGAGTAAACCACATTTATAAGTAAAGGAAACCATTCTGGTTGTAGAGACAGGTGAATTTCGTGGTTTCTTGTCATAGATAATTCGAAGTGTGACTGGTGACCAGTTAACTTGTCATTCATTTGTACATAATTTGGGATTGTTCAAGAAATAGTAGTATCCCAAGTATTCTAAGATTCTACATGAAGAAGAGTTTTGGCTCAAATATTTGTGTGAAATTGAAGGACTACTTTGTTACCTTTAGAAATACAAAGATCTAGTTCATTTTGACATGAAATGTTTTAAATATAAATAGAAAATGTATGTTTCTGCTTTCAGTTTCTAATAATACTTTCTTTAAAAAAAAAAGAAAGAAAGAAAAGAAAACTTGTAAAATGTACATTAATAGGAACCAAAGCACTGAAGTGCTGACCTTTTCTCAGGATAACTACAAAGTCAGGGTCGGAGACAGATCCTGTCGTCTCCCTTTGGTTACATGATTCATGTTTTAGTTTCTCGTGACTACTTCAAGGTTCAGGATATTGGTTTCTCAGGGAGGGAGAAGAATGTGGATGGGAAATGGGTACACTAGAGTTTTCAGCTGTATGGAGGCAGTTTTGGTTTTTCACTTTTAAAACATCTGAAGTAAATGTTAAGATTTATCTTAAATCAGTTTCTTAAATAACTCAGATAGTTTTACTAATTTCTAACTCTGGGGTTTTTTTTGTTTATTTTGTTTTGTTTTCTTTATAAAGAATAAAATACAGCATCGGATCCCTTTCTTCTGTTTCTGCAAACGTCCTGAGAAACACTGAACCAAAGGAGAAGCTACAGTTGGAGCCCATTTTCCAGGACATGGGAGAAAGTAATGGGCAACTGCTCGAGCAGAATTTTCAGTATGAAGAAACCCAGCAACCTGAGCAAAGGCTTGTGTTTGCTTCAGAACCCATGTCCTACTGTTCAACTGGATTGAAAAGACTGGATGAGAAAACAGTGAGCAATTTCAATGCAAGTGAACCTGACCTAAAACAGAATTGTACACCGCTACCTCCATGTAAAAATGAAGAGGAAGGAATTCTTGATGCTTCTGAACATAAATTAATTATTAATAGAAATGATTCAGTAGAAAGGGGAGGTGACTCTCTGGGTGTGCCACAGTCATGTGTGCAAGTTTCTTATCTCAGTTCAGAAAATAGTACTCCCCAACCAAAATTAACTGCAGATACTACACATTCTTCAGCAAAACATCTACAGCATGATTCTGACCTGGTGACATTAAATACATCAAAAGAACACCTAACAGTGAAGGCTAGAACTCCATCCTGTAGTCCTCAGGAGCCTAATGAATGTGACACTGAGAATATGGATAATTTGCCTTGTGGTAAGATCCAGCGGAAAGTGAGACTATTGTTAGGGCAAAAGAAAAAAAATGTGGACCCAAGTGCTGAACTGGATAAGAAAAGAACTGAGTTTCTTCCTGCATGTGAAGACAGAACTTGTGGGTCACCAGTACAATCTCTCCTGGACCTCTTTCAGACAAGTGGAGAGAAATCAGAATTTTTGGGTTTTACAAGCTACACTGAAAACAGTGGAATGTGTGATGTTTTAGATATTTGGGAGGAAGAAAATTCAAGTAGTCTGCTGTCAACATTTTTCTCTTCCCCTTCAGCTTCTACATTTGTTGGATTTTAGTATTTAATGTGTTTTTCAGAAGTGACAGTTATAAAAATTCCTGAATTTTTTTATAAATATATATAATTCTTAGGAATTATGAGTTTTTGTTTTGTTTTGGCTTTGGTTTTTTGCCAGCTTTGTTTATGAAACCACATGTAAATATTAAGATGTTTGTAATTTTTTTTTACAGAATTGAGTAGCTATTACAAATTATACAATAAAATTTGTGATTTATTTTATATACTATGGTCATAATTATTTCCTGAGAGTTGTAATGAGTATCATTTGCTTTATCACTGAAAATAATTTCAAGTGAGATTTTAAACATCAAAAATTAAGCACTATACATTGTATACTATTAACCATTGCCATTAGCATAGATTTCCATGATTAACATATTATTGCCTAAAAACAAATTTCAGTTAAAAAGGGGAAAAAATATACTAATCGGTATATTTAGATTTTTGAAGTTACTAGAAACATTGAATATAGGCACTGACCCAGCTAGATTGTGCCAGGATCCTGACACTGCAAACTGAGGTTATTGTAGGGATTAAAACAATCTTAAAATTGTAAAGGAGAATTTACATCAATGTTAAGTGATGTGGTGAGTTGTTGGAATTGTTTTGAAATGCATGGGAAGAATAACATGATCTGGTACTTGACGGTAAAATAACTTGGAACAGGGAAAATTTAAGGTGAATTTCCTCTTACCTTTGAGTATTTTTGTATAAAAGTGAAATATTTACCACTAAGAACAATTTTTCATGGATGGCCCAAAAGATGGTGCTATTAACTACTGCATAAATACACAATGTTACTAAAAGTTGGTTATCAGTATTCACTTGAAAATTTTTGTTGCATTTATTTATTTGTGTGTGTATGGGAGTGGGGTTCACAGGCCATGGAAATCAGTTATTCCTGCCATGTGGGTCCCAGAGAGCAAACTGGTTGTCAGGTTTGGTGGCAGACTCCTTTTACCTGCTGAGCTGTGTAGCTTGTCCAGGAGTATTAACTTTCTTGAACTAAGTCAAAATGTCAAACAACTTCAGGGGCAAAAAAAAGTACCTCTGTGAATTGAAGAGCCTGTTACTTTTAAAGTATCATGCATCACATAGTTACCCGGGAATATAAAAAATCTAGAAACTTGAAAAAACTTTTTATGTAGTCTTTTTTTACCTCCCTATGTCTCCAAATGGTTTTCTGTTATTTTGCCTTAATTATATTTAAGAAAAGCTAAATGCTTCAGTAGTTTTAAATTTTAATTTGACAACATCTGAACTACAATGTGGTGTTCTATCTTCAGCACAGTGGCTGCACCTTAATCTGACATTTCAGCCAGAAGTTGTGACTCCACAATTACCAGTCTACTTCTCTTGCAGTGAGTGGCCTGGCTGCTCAGGCCATGGCCTGGCAGGAATTCTGTTCTAAGACTTAAGGTTCAAAGGCTGGGGTGAAACCCTGCAAACTCAGAGAAGCTGAGTAGCAGCTAGCTAACCCTTTCTCCTTGCTGGTGTCTCCAAAAGGCCCATACTTCCATTCCACCAAACTAGGAAATGTGGCATCACTCCAAATCCCTCCCTGCTACTTCCTGTGTCTATCTCTTCCAGATGCCCTCTGGTGCTCCTATGATTGCTTTCTGTAAACTAATTGCTAACTCAGCCTCCTGACCCAAGATTAATTAATAAAATAAAATTTTATTTAATCAACACAAATGGAAACTCATATTCACAGTGTGATCCAATATCCCCCAGCATTCCCCCTTTTAGTCTAAAAAGGAAAGGTTTTAACTAACACAGTAAAACTATATACAATAAGAACAATTATCAAGTAAGGATTACATTCACAATGTCCAGTCCATTTGTAGTTGGCAAATTCAATCCAATTACCTGAGTAAACAGGAAGAGCATTGTAAGCAACTTCCAAAAATCTAGAATGACAGACAGCTGGCTACCTGGACAATTACCCAAAGTTCTGCAATGTTGGGGCATCTATCTTCAGCCTACAGACCTGGAGTCTCTCAGTTGCTTCTCTCTGTATCCTGTAGAGTGTCTGGCAGTTTCCTCTGTGAAGCAGGAACCTGAAGGACCATCTCACCTTGCAAAGTTCAGTGGTCACCTTCCTATGGGTCCTGAATGTCCAGTTTATACAACATGTGGTCAAGCAGTCCAGGCAATAACAGTTTCTTGCCCAAATGGCTAACTTTTGCCATGAAGAAGATAAACTCCATATGAAGTGTCTTCAACACCCACCCCCCTCTTTGGAGTAATTGGTGCTGCCAGGAGCAGACATGTCTCATTGTCCAGGAAAGTCTAAGTTCTTAAAACATTTTAAATGCCATATTCTATAGGTCTTTGAAGTGTTTGAAGATTACCTACCTAATGGAAATATATGTATACCTAGAAAACTTAACTAACATGACTATAAGTTTGATTATCATAGATAACTAATGTATTTCTCAACTATACATTACAATTTCAAATGAGTTGCACAAACAAAATACTTTAAACAAGAGTAGAAATATATATACAGTATAACAAAATTAACTTTAAATTTGTATCAAACAAATCCATAGCAATATAAAACATTTTAAGCAAGTTGTTGCTCTTTAAAAGATTCAATAATCCACCCTTTTTATCCTATCATATCTATAGCCTATATTTCTATATCATATCCCCCTTTTTTTAGAAAGAGATTGACTATGACCAATAACAATTTGTAATCAACAACCTAAACAAATACAAATATCCATAATCCATTTTGCGGGAATGTGGAAGTAGTATTCTATGCTACTTTCTGCTGATGTGGGTACTGATAGTCTTATGGGGATCCTGAGAAAATTAAGAATTTTTGTCAAGTCCTGACTGGAATACTCTGTGAGGCTGCATTGTCTGAGCCATTTGTCTTGAAGCTGTTTTTGGATGTTGAATAATCTGGGCCATGGTGTAATCAGAGACCTTTCAGGGGGTCTTCCTTGATCAAGCTATATTAGCTTGGAAACAATTCACAGGTTCTCATCTTCTGTGAAAATAAAAGCAGAACCTCTTTTCCAAAGTAACATATCCTTAGACATAAACTTTGAAGTCCAGATACCCTTAAAATACCTATATTGATTTAACTCAGCAGCTTTTACAATCAACTGTCTCTCTGCAGACTCACTGTGTGAGTTCCATCTTTACGTGGCTTATTTTTTTTATTACTTTTACTTTCTCTCTAAAGACTTTATTTTTTAAAACTTCTATTTCTTTATATAACTGTCTATATTCCAAGCCTACATATTTTTTTTTATAAACATTGTAAACTGTTTAGAGGTTTATTTCATCTGAATCTGTTTTATTGTGAATCTATTGCTTTAAACTGCAGTGACTAGGACTGAAATGGCAGCTTTGGCTTCTGGCTCTGCCCACCTCAGTTTCCCAACATAGTGGAACTAAGTTTACCACCAGCTCTGTCGGAGTCATGCTCACCACCAACTCTGGGAAGCAGTGGGTCCATGTCTCCAGCAGCATGTAGCCCAGAAACCTTTTTTTTTTTTTTTTCCTTCTGTACTAGCAAAAGCTAAATCTGCCAGGCAGTGTGTTGTAGGCTTAAAGAAACTGCTGTGTAACTTGGCTGGAATCCACTATGCTGTAGCTCAAGCCCACACACCATGAACCTGCCATATTGTAGCTCAAGTCTGCATGCCACAGCATCTCTGTACCTTGGCATCTCTATATCTCAGCCCACATGAGCCCTGAAGTAGAAAGCTATTTTTGGCTCCATTATTGTGTGTTTAGAAGTCCTTTTTAAACTCTTTTAGGCCTTATGGAAATTTGAGAGCCCCACGTTGGGCACCAAATTAGCTTGAAGTTTTCCTGTGTCTCAACTGGCTGGCAGTTGGAACAAGTTTTCCCCATTCACGTTTCCCAAATAAACACACAGAGGTTTATATTAATTAAAACTGCTTGGCCATCAACTCAGGCTTATTACTGACTAGGTCTTATACTTAATTTAACCCATAATTCTTATCTATGTTTAGCCACGTGGCTTGGTACCTTTTCTCAGTTCTACCTTATCATCTTGCTTCCTCTGACTGGTGACTCCTGACTCTGCTCTTTTTCTTCCCAGCATTCTCCTCTTTTGTTGGCCCTGCCTATACTTCCTGCCTGGCTACTGGTCAATCAGCATTTTATTAAACCAGTATACAAGTGTATCATCCCACAGCATGTACAGGAACTAGATGAAGCCTATTTCTAGAATTAGTACTCTATATTACCATTAATACCATGACAGAAAGTTTAATATATTTATAGTAATCTTATAAATTTAATATCTAGACCTTAAGAAAAGTTTTAAAGAGTCAAAATAAAACCAAAGGATTATGAGATTAGTGACAATAGAATAGTACCTTAATTTTGGTTTCCTCTGTCCCACATCAGGTGACTCTTCTGACATGAGACAGATTTGGATTTTCCTTTAACAAGCATGGTTGGATTTAGAAAAGGAGAGAGCCATGCTCCAACTCCAAAATCAGCTTTAGTTTTTAATTGAACTGGGACTACAAAAAGACCATTTGCTTTTTACGCTTGCAGAGAGCAGCAGGAACAAATATTTGGGAAGATTTATGAAATTTTATCCTATTGGAAGTGTGCTATATCATTAGGTCAAATTTACTCTTTTTGCTGGGGCATTTTTCTCTGGATGATTTTTGTCCTTCAGATGTCTCATTTGTCCAGTGGTCTTCAGATTCCTTAGTTGGATGCTTTTATTCTCCTGGAAAGACAAAAACAAAACCTTTCCCCAACCCTAATGTTGGGGAGTTCCTTTTTTGTCAGGTTATATCTTTGTTAAGACAAAATTGTTTTGGCAACAGTAAAAATATCTTTTCATAATAATTTTTCTCATACCTAATCAAATGAAAGGCATTTGTTAGTCTTAGAAGTTTGGATTGAATGACCAAGCTGTTTGATGAACTCCTAATCAAGAGGTCTCTCCTGTTCGAATCTAATCTTTATCAATCTTGATGGTATCCATAGCTTTTCTTCTCTGGTGGAAACAAAATCAAAACCTCTTCCCCAATGTAACACATGTCCTGGTTTCCATTCTGAGATCAACACATCTTTAAAATATATAGGCTGATTTAATTTGGTGGTTTTTTTTTTTTCTTCTTCTATTATCCAGTGGCTTTCTGCAGTCATTTTTTATTGGTACTTTAAAAATGTAAATTTTTACATTTACAAATTAATTTACATAATTAATATTTAA